AAAAAAAAAGAGAAGGAAAAGAGAAGGAAAAAAAAGAGCAGAGAGCAAAGGAGAAAGGGCAGGAGTGAACAGAGAGGAAAAAGGAGAAATAGAGACAGAAAAAACAAAGTCAAAGAGATAGTAAAAAAGGAGAGGGAAGAAGACACGGGGAAACATGAGAGAAAAAGAAAAATGAGAAACGAGGAGGAAAAAAAAGGACAGAAAAAAAAGGAGAGTGGAACAAGAACAAAAAGGCGAAAAGAGCGAGAACGGGAGAAAGAGCAGCAAGTAGAGAGCAGAGCGAAAGCGAAGGGAGGAGCGGGGAGAACGGGGGATACGGAGCCCTCCCGGCCGGGCACGTCGTGCCGGCCCCGGCGCTGCGGGTCGGGACCCTCCGGGCCGGACCCCCTCCCGCCGCCTCCCCCCTGCCCCGTGCCTTCCCCCGGCTCTGCTCAGAACCCGGCGGAGCCATCCCGGAGCAGTCCCGGAGCCGCCCGCACTCACCCATCGCCCGGCGCGGGGGTCGCGCCGCTCGGCCCGGGGAGGGGGCAGCGCCTGCCCCAGCATAGAGAGCCCGGGGGGCGGCGGGGGCTGCGGGGAGCCGGCGGCCGGGGGGTCCTGGCGGCGCCGGGCCGGTTCCCCGCTCGCGGGGAGCCCCCGCCGCTCCTCGGGATCAATTTGACGTGGGAATCACGTCAATCCCGGCCGTCACGGCGGCGGCGCCGCCGCCCATTGGCTCCCGCCCGCTCCTAAATGGCCGCGGCGAGCAGGGACGGGGGGGCCGGTACCCTCTGCCCGCCCCCTCGGGGCCCGAGCCCCGCCACCCCCGTGGGACCCCCCCGCGCATCGCCCCGCACACCCCCCGAGCTGCGGGAAGGCGGAGCGGGATCCACCGTGGGGGTCTCAACGCCCCCCGCCCTTAAAGCGTGAGGGTCCCCAACGGCTCCCTCCCCGCGCTGTTCCCACGCGGGACGGGGACACGCACCTGCCCCGCCTCCAGCCCCGAAGGGACCCACGGGCGGAGGCAGCGCGGGAGGCTCCGCCAGGGCAGGGTCGTGCTTTGGGGGGCGAGGGAGCCCACGGAGCCCCGCCCGGGGGGGGCTTCCCAGCTGACAAACTGCCGCCCACCCAGCAGTGAAATCCGCCTTTCCCCCCCCCAAAAAAAATAACACCCGAGAGCAGCTTGGTGGATGGGGCGAGTGCTCGGGACATTCCGGTGGATTTTCGTCCCCTCCCCAAGGAGAGGTCGGTGGGAAGATCGTGAGTGTTTCCCCGCAAACGACTGAAAGGGTGGGGGGCGAGGGGGGTGCCCGGCGGGGGCAGGGGTCTGGAAAGGCCGCTCCGCAGTGGGTTTTAAAGAGGGGTCGGCAGCGCCCACCACCCCGGGCACGGGCTCACCCCCGCCAGCGCGGGCATCCACGCAAACGGTATCCACGCGCGGGCGGGCACGGGGGGAAGCCCTCAGGGGGTACCCGCTCGGACGCCCCCTTCTCTGCCTCCCACCCCCCCGAGACGGGGGCTTGAACCCACGCGGGGGTCGCGGCAGACGGTGCCGCCTGAGCGCTGGAAAAAAGCGCCGGGAAAAGGGAACGGATCGATTAAACAGGAGCTGAACATGGCAGGGGGGTGGGAGTCCCGTGATTCCCTCACACCCCGGGCACTCACCCGGCTGCAGCCCCCGTGGGGGGGTCCGTGCGATGAGTTCGCCGTTCTCAGCCCGGCGGAGAGGCCGCCGCAGCCCGCGGGGAGCCGGCGATCGAACGGCGGCCGGGAAAGGCAGGTGTGGTTCTCCCTGTCCCGATGATCTCACGAAACGGTTTTTTCCTGGAGCGTGGGGGTCTCTTCCCACCCTCGGAGGAGCCTTTTCCCTCGGGAACTGCGCTCGGAGGAGCCCAGGCTCCCACGGGGCGGCGGGACCCCACGCACTCCTGTGATCGCAGCCAGCCCCGCACCGCTGCTCCCTGGGGATGGGGTGCTGGGAGAGGCTTTTCCAAGAACAAAATCCCCCCGGAAAGCGATTCCCCCCGGGGCAGCCCCTCCACCTGCTCCCCGCATCCCCCCGCGGCTCTGCCGGGAGCGGCCGGACAGGACGAGGGGATGGGATGGTCAAGATCCATCCTCTGCGGGAATGTGGCCCTGGACATAGCGGGGATGGAAAGGTAGGAGAGGAAAACGGGAAGGAAACAAAGAAGGAAAAGAACAACGAAAAGAAAACGAAGGGAAAAAAGTAGAAGGAGGAGGAAAATGAGATGAAAAAGAAAAAGGAGGGGGGGAAAGAAGGGAAGAGAGGTAGAAGATTAGGGAAAATAAAGGGGGGATAGGCAAAAAGAAAAGGAAGATAAAAGAAAAAATAAATAACTATGAAAATAAAAAATTAAGAGAAGGAAAAAGAACAAGGGCAAAAATAAAGGAAAAATAGAAGAAATTAAAAGGAAAGGGAAAAGAAAGAGAGGAAAAGGAAAAGAAAAAGGAAAAGGGGAAGCAGAGCGGGTGGGGGGCAGCCGGCTCAGGTGAGAGGTGGACTGGGGGGATGCCTATTAATAACACTCTGCAAATGCTCCCCGGGGTGCTCAGCGCCCTGCGGAGCTCCAGCGGCAGCGCCGGGGGCTACCCGGGCCCCCCAACCCTGCTCCCTCCGGCCGAGCCCCCCCGCCCTTCCCCGAGATTGTTTCCATTCACTCCGGCTCTGCTTTACCTTCTCCACCTCCTCCTTCCCCGCTCCTCTCACGATCCTCTTCAGCGCGAGCTCCGTGAGCACCGTCCAGCCTGAAAAAACATTTAAAAACCACTTATTTTACCCTTTTTTTTTTTTTTTCCAAAGCTGCAGGGCGTTTGTGTGCGTTTTTATGCCTCGTGT